AGCCTTTTAGTAAAGAAGTTGTATTCCTGGGGCATAACTACCCATTATGACCTTCCTGGTTAGGATTTTATGATCAGATGATCCTGCAGTTACTTTCCATTGAACCCCCTTTCTTTTGTCCACAGTTCCCCCTTTTGGTTATAAATCAATCCAAAGGATGCATTGATGACCAACCTTTTGGTTGGACAGTGTAGTCTCACAGCGCAAGAAGGCTCATTCCTAAGAAGGCTCAGTGTCGATGTTCTCTTATTGGCTATTGGGGATGAGGCAATACCATAATCATGGGATCTGAGTGGAGGCTGAATTTTTCGCAAAAAAGGAAAGAACAGTTAAATGGAAGGTAGTTAGGTCATGTGGGCTTCATTATGAATAAAACACTGGATCATTTCTATTCTGTGAACTCTCATGTTTGAGTTTTGCCTAATTGCCAAGTTCTGTCTATTTTTCTGTATTTGGCATCTAGTATAACATTTACATAAGCCATGAAAAGAGTATAACAGTGATTTTTTAAAAAGTATTTTAATATCTCTATATATTTTTAGTTGATTTCAGAGAGAGGAAGGGAGAGGGAGAGAGAGATAGAAGCATTAATGATAAGAGAGAATCATCAATCGGCTACCTCCTACACGCCCTTTACTGGAGATTGAGCCTGTAACCCAGGCATATGCCCTGACTGGGAATTGAACTGTGACCTCCTGGTTCATAAGTTGATGCTCAACCACTGAACCATACTGGCTGGGCTTAACAGTGTTCTTATACATGCTCAGTCATCATAACAGTTGAACTATATACAAAAACATAAAGAACAAGTATAACTATTATTATTATTACTTTTTAAAGTTCTCACCCAAGGATATTTTTCCATTGAATTTTAGAGAGAGTAGAAGAGAGAGGGAAAGATAGAGAGAAGTATTGAGGTGAGAGAAGCTCATCGATTGGTTGCCTCCTGCACAAGCCCCGACCAGGGCCCCAGGCTGAGGAGGAACCTGCAACTGAGGTATGTGCCCTTGACTGAAATCAAACCCTGGACCCTTTGGTCCATAGGCCGACACTCTATCCACTCAGCCAAACTGGCTAGGGCAAATATACCAGTAACTATTATTATGACTAATATCATTAGCATACAAGTAGAGACAATCAAGCAAAATGGATCCTGAGTTCAACATCAGTCAGTAGGTGTACAGGTCTTGTTGATGTTTTGGAATAGCTGTCTGTCTCTGATGTTAGCAGCTTCTCATCCTTGAGGAGTCTTTGATGTCCATTGTAGGTGGAGGCGAGTGTCAGAGGTCAGTAGCTGTCCATTTATGGTTATGTTCCTAATAAATTCTCTTCCAGCGAGATTGGGGAGCGTCTTTATTTGATGTTCTTTCTAAAAAACAATATCTAAATCTTTGTCTCCTGGGAGCTCACTGTGAAAGGAAGCCGTTATCAACTTGGTATTTTCTTTAAGTGACTCTATCAAACCTTGGCAATAGCGTAAGATGTCTCTCAATAATGTCAGCTCATAGGTTCCTTTACCTGAGTTCAGCTTAAATGCACAATGACGCATAAAGGATTATAAAAAACAAAAAATGGGGTTTACCAGGGAGCTAGGAAAAGAATCAACCAGCCGTTGTGGGTTTCCTGTAGCCTCGACTACTAGTATATAATTTATGGTCATTGTTTACCCATATATTATACCCTAGAAGTTTTTCATCAATTATTTTACAATGTTTCTCATGCAATTTAACATAATAAACAAATCCTTTGAAGTGTTCCAGGGGCCCTTCTGGTACACTGCAAAGTTATTCCTATGTATATTGAGATTTTAACCCTTAAAACCTCAATTTTGAATGAAAATTAAGAAGTAAGCAATTTGCATTCTTTAGCTTAGCAGATTTATGAGGACATTTTATAACCTCTAGAAACATATTTCATAGTTTTGTAGAGCCCAGGTAAAATAAAGACATGTCTGTTTTACTTAAACCAACAAACTTAAACTAGCTTTTATTTACTAAGGATTAATTTTAGATATGTGAACATGAAAAGCATTTGAGTTATTTTCTGTATGTCTGAGAATTTTAGAATACCCAATCCCTACAAGCACTTGCTTTTAAGTCAATTTTAACAATACCATCCAGAGGTAGAAAATTATTTCACATTTACTACATATATAGACATACATAGACGGACACAGACAGAGAACAGTTGGATCCAAGTTTTGTTTTGGAGAAACTTATAATTTCTATCTGTCCTTGACAAGTCAAGTTCCAAATGACCTTTCCCCCCTTTTAAAAAAAATATGTTTTTATTGACGTAGAGAGAAAGGGAGAGGGAGAGAGAGATAGAAACATTGATGAGAAAGAAATATCAACATCTATTAGCTGCCTCCTGCATGGCCCCCATGGGGATTGAGCCTGCAACTGGCATGTGCCCTGACAGGAACTTGAACCAGGGACCTCTTGGTTCATGGGTCGATGCACAACCACTGAGCTACACTGACTGGCTCCCCTTTTAAAATAGGACAGGCATTTTAATACCTCAAAGGAATGGGTGGACACCTAAATGACATCATAGGTTGATCCATTTATGTAAATCCTCTTTTTGAAGCTTTGAGAGACCAATTAAGTATGCTTTCTATTCTTTCTGCCTAATTTTATAGCCGGCTTTTTCTAATTGTGAGTGCAAAAGATTAGAAGTATCAGAGGATCCTCATCTTGGCTATCTTAGTATTTTTTTTTTTTTTTGGAGTGACTTT